GTCCTACCCCTCCCTCCCATCCCTGACCGTGGCGCTGATGTTCTCTATCCGCGGACGCGTGTCGTAGCGGACCCTGTGGCTCCGCGCGCGTGTGCGTAGTGGGTGGTGGTGCGCGTGCGTGCGTGCATGTGTGCGTGGTTGTGGTTGTTGTGGTGGTGGTGTGTATGTGTGTGTGTGCGTGTGTGCGCGTGTGCTGTGGTGTGACGTGGTGTGGCGTCTTGGTGGTTTGGTGGTGGGCCAGGTGCGTACGTGCGTGATGGCGGTGGTGGTGGTGGTGGTGGTGGCGGTGGTGGTGTGTGTGTGTGTGTGTGTGTGTCTGTGTGTGTGTGTGTGTGTGCGTGCGTGCGTGCGTGCGTGCGTGCGTGCGTGCGTGCGTGCGTGCGTGCGTGCGTGCGTGCGTGCGTGCGTGCGTGCGTGCGTGCGTGCGTGCGTGCGTGCGTGCGTGCGTGCGTGCGTGCGTGCGTGCGTGCGTGCGTGCGGGCGTGCGTGCGTGCGTGCGTGCGTGCGTGCGTGCGTGCGTGCGTGCGTGCGTGCGTGCGTGCGTGCGTGCGTGCGTGCGTGCGTGCGTGCGTGCGTGCGTGTCTGTGTGTGCGCGCGTGTGATGTGGTGTGACGCGGTGTAGCGTGGTGGTGGTGGGTGGGTAGTGCGGTGGTGGTGGCGGTGCGCGGTGGTGGTGCGCGTGCGTGCGTGCGTGCGTTGGTGGGTGGAAGTGGCGGTGGGTGTGCGTGCGGCGGGGCGGGGCGTGGTGCGGCGCGGTGGTGGCGGGCGGATGGGCGCGCGAAAAAGAGGCCCGCGCTGGGGCGAGAACGCCATCCTGAACGACGGAGGCAAAACACCGATCCGAAAATGAGGCCCACGCTGCAGCGGGAGCACGATTCGGATCGATTCGGGAGCAGAAATGAGGCCGGCGCCCTAGCGAAAGCAGCATTTTGACAAACAAACGCAGGCGAAAACCCAACTCCCGGGAATCCTGTGTGTAAAAAACAGTACGCGGGGGGGGGTGGGTCGAATATTCCCAGCACGCCATCAGGGGAAGAGGGGGAGTAGTATTCATATTGAGTAATTGTGGAGGAGGAGGAGGAGGAGGAGGAGGAGGAGGAGGAGGAGGGGAGGAGGAGGAGGAGGAGGAGGAGGAGGAGGAAGGAGGGGGGAAGGAAAAGGAGGGGAGGAGTGAGTGGGAAGGGCGGGAGGCGGAAGGAGGGAGGCGGGAGCGGGAGGCGGGAGGCGTGAGGAGGGAGGCGGGAGGAGGGAGGAGGGGAGTGGGGGAGGGAGAGGGAGAAGGAGGAGGGAGGGAGGAGAAGGGGATGGGCGGGAGGAGGGAAGGAGGAGGGAGGAGGGAGGAGGGAGCGGGGGAGAAGGGGGGAGGGGGGAGGAGAGGAGGAGGAGGAGGAGGGAGGAGGGAGGAGGCAGGAGGGATCAGGGAGGAGGGAGGAGGGAGGAGGGAGTGGGGAGGGTGGAGGGGGGAGGAGGGAGGAGGGAGGAGGGAGGAGGGAGGAGGGATCAGGGAGGAGGGAGGAGCGAAAGAGCGAGGAGCGAGGAGCGAGCGGAAGAGGAGGTGAAGAGGGAATAGAGGAGGAGGAGGAGGAGGAGGAGAAGGAGGAGGAGGAGGAGGAGGAGGACGAGGAGGAGGACGAGGAGGAGATGGAGACGGGGAGGGGGAGTCGAGGAATCGCAAACATGTATTAGGACGCGTGGATGGGCGACGGGCCCCGTTTCCTCGCGTCATCGGCCTCATCTGTCGGGGGTGCCTTCCCGATCCGTGGATCTAGTGCCCACGCGCCAGATCCGCGGATGATCTCTAATCCATGTTGGCGCGGGCCCGCCGGAGTGGGGTGCCCAAACGTGTGCAACAGTACCAGCACGACGACACTAGGCCAGACGCTTGGGCCAGCAAGAGCTTGGGCAAACGACGGAATTCTTGCCCCGAGAACACCCCCTGAGAACGCAGGGGCCCGACTGACAGTCTGGCGTCCTCCAAGGCCGTGCCATGAATCAGGCGGCCTGGGCCTCGCGAGCCTGCAGACGAACCCTTGCGTATGATCCTTGCGGACTGCGTAGCTGTAGAGGTCCTGCACCCGGCTCAGTACGGCACCCACTTGCCCTTGAGCTTGTTTTTTAATTGCTCGGACCCGTAACGCCCGTTACGGGGGGGGTCCCCCCCCCGTAACGGTAACGAGCGTACGGGGACGGGGGTGCGGACCCCCCCTCTGTCCAGGCAGGCATGCTGTGACGCTCACATGTGTGCTCAGGTTCGAGGTTCGAGGTTCGAGGTTCGAACCTCGGCGTAAACTCAAAATGGGTCCACGGGGCCCGACTGGGGCTCAGACGCACCAGTTTCCCGAGCCGCGTCCAGCCGCGGCGACGACGAAGGCCCTCGAGGGCCAGGATGCCTCGATCCTCTGAGAAGGCGGCGGGACTTCTCAGAAGCCCTCTGGCCTTCAGAGAAGCCCTCCGTGTCTTCGGGGGAGGCTTGGACATCTTCTCAGCTGAGCCTTCTCAGAAGGCCCGCCCCCTGTCATTTCCCCCCTCGGCTCGCCGCCAAATCTTGCGCGCAGTGCCAGCGGGCACTGCGCTTTAGCACTTGATCGGCGGTGTGGCGCGCAACAGGTGCCACAGAATGGTCGTCGTCATCCCTGCCGCGTCCGTTGTCATTATCCTGCGGGCTGCACCCGGAGTCCCGACGCCCGCCTGCCAGCACGACGTTTCCCCGAACAGTGCGCGCACCAGGAGTTCCGTTGAAACGCAGCGCCACAAAGTGGCCCCGCCTTTGGCGCAACCTGTGGCGCAACCATCGACGCAACCTATGGCACGCCCTGAGGGCGCAACCTAAGGCGCAACGTAAGGCGCGATTTGTGGGGCGCCCTGGGTGCGCAACCTATGGCGCAAGCTATGGCACGCCCTGGGGGCGCATCCTATGGCGCAGCTTACGGCTCAACCTATGGCGCAGGTAATTGTACGCAAGCACAGCGTGTGGTGTAACGCATCGGGCAAGCCACGGCGCAACCAGCCGGTGCACTCTCACAGTATCATTCTGACTACTACCACTGTCCTCCCTCCATTTTCCCTGTGCTGGTGCAAGGGGCTGGACTGGGCGAGACCTGCACGCGGATGTGGCCTCATGTCCTTCCAGCGCTCGGCCCTCCTACCTCGCGCGGTTGGTCACGCCAGCCCCCCGCACGTGTATCCAGCAAGTGGGCCCCAAGCGCTGCTGAAGCTTTCGGCAACTGGCTGCGGGCGCGGCGGTGGCGGCGGCGACAACGACGGCGGCATCGGCGGAGACGACGACGGCAGTGACGGCGGCGGCGGTCACCTTCACCGCCGCCACCGCCGCTTGCCGCCGTCGGCGTCGTTGCCGTCGCCGCCGCCGCCGCCGTCGTCGTCGTCGTCGTGGTCGCCGTCGCCGCCGCCCGTGTCGCCGCCGCCGCCGCCGTCGCCCCCGGGTCGCCGTCGCAACTGACGGCGACGACGACGACGCACCCGCGTGCACGCTCCAGCCGTCGACCCATGTCTCAAGGGCCTTGTGCCTGTGCAGGGAGCTCCTGCTTCCTGTATTCCCTAGGCTGCCGCTGCCCCGCGCGCCCCCACGGTGCCTGGTTTACACTCCGCACACCAAAAAAACCGTTCACAAGCTTTGTGGTGCACACATGCCACGTGGTATACACAGGCGCCACGGTTCACACGGCCATGATGTACGTAGTCGCGATGGAGTACACAGGCGCTGTGGGCTCAACAGGTCCGAGCGCTTTTTGAACCATAAACCAAGATCCACAAACAGCTCACATAATGAAAGGGCCACGGTTGGGCCCCGAACGATCTTCTGGACTTTCGCTCCGCCGGTACCTTACAGGTGTACACAAGCTTTGTGGTGTACGCTGGCATTCTGGTGCAAACACGGGGCGTTGAAACAGCAGCTGTGGTGCACGCGGGCGCCGTGGTGTGCACCAACAGTGAGATGTACAAGGGCGCTGTGGTGCACCCGCCTGTCATGATGTGCTCAGTCGCCGTGGTGCACACACATACCATTTCTGCCGCAGTTGTGGTGTACAAGGCATTACGGTGTACAGAGCCTGTGTAGTGTGCACAATCACGGTCGGCTTCGACGACGACGACAGCGGCGACGACGACGACGACGACGAAACCTACCGTGCCGACAGTTGTGCTGGTAATAAGTACCAGGGTCCGTGCGAGGGCCCCGCCGCGCGTTACCGTTACCCCCAACTTGGGGCTGGACCCCCCCCCCCGTAACGGGCGCTACCCCCCCCAAAAAAAATAAACAAGCTCCTTGTGATCAAGCGCAGGTCCTCCTCTGAGGGCGAGGCCACCTTTTGGCGGCGCCTTCGGTGCTTCGGACGCCGCCCAGAGCGTAGGCGCCGCAGCTGATGGCCTTTGGGTCCGACTCGGTGCGTTCGCACCGATTGACCAGCGAATGGAGTTGTGCTCTCCGCGAAAAGTTCCAGACATCACGCAATAAATCATAGGACGAAAGCGTGTCGCTCACACGGCTTGCAAGCTATGACGGTGGACTGTTTCGCTGCAACGTACCCAGGGGAAGACAACAGGAGGCCCTAGACATCCCATCGGAGCCAGGCTTGAACCAGCCCTGGCCACGCTGAGACACCGAACACATTTCATCTTACACCCACCCACAGGCGACCACTCATGCCACGACGCCTCCCGGCGATGTTCGGCGTCTGACATTTCTCGAGCGTGGGAAGAGGGACCACGGCAGCACATTGGCCACAGGAGTGTCGACAGCCCGCAGCCTCTTGGTCATAGGACTTCTGCGGTCACTGGTCCACGGTGAGCGGTGGGGATGGAGTTTGAGGGCATCTTCAAGAAGAAGGTCTGCGTCTTGACTGCCCAGAAAGACTCTCTGGCCGTTTGGCGCCAGGGCCAACGAGCGAGCGGGGGGAGGGCTGGACTCTGGACTCTGCGCTGGGGGGCACCTCTGTCTCCAGTGAAGCGCTTGCTAGCCCCCGCGGATGGCTCTGGACCGGTCTCGAGAGCGGCCCCCTCGAGGTCGACCTCGCCCGCGCGTCTCAGGCAGGTCGGGGTTGACGCAAGGAGAGGATCGGGATGCGGAAGAGGCGGGAGAGCGCAGGGATCGGCACAAGACATAGTCCTTCGCAGGTCCCTACCCGCCATCCTCGAACCTCGTAGGCCGTTTTGCTCGCAAATCCGCTTCGGCCAGGCACAAGGTGCGATGGGAGGATGAGGAGGACAATGAGGACGAGGATTCGGATGAGGATGAGGATGAGGATGATGACGAGGATGAGGATGAGGATGAGGATGATGAAGAGGATGAGGATGAGAATGAGCATGAGGATGAGGATGTGGATGCTGATGAGGATGCTGATGAGGACGGTGATAGTTATGGATAATTGTGAAGAAGAAGATGATGATGCTGATACTAATTACGATGATGATTCTGCTGATGATGACGATGATGATAATGCTACTGGTGATGCTGGTGATGGTGATGGTGATGGTGATGACAATGATGATGACGTTGATGATGATTATGGTGATGGTGCTTGTGATGGTGATGGTGATGGTGATGTTGGTGATGCTGATGGTGATGCTGCTGCTGCTGATGATGATGGTGGTGGTGATGATGATGATGATGATGATGATGATGATGATGGGGATGAGGGTGATGATGGTGATGGTGATGAAGATACTGATGATGGCGGTGGTTCAGATAATGAGGATGATGATCATGATGTCTATGGCGATGGTGATAATGGTGAGGATGGTGATGAGGATGAACAGGATCAGGCGGATGGATATGATGCGACTGCTGTTTTTGTTGTTTCTGAATGCTGTTCAGGACAATGCTGGTTATTCGGATTCTTCGGATCACGATTGCGGCGGCAACGGTGGTGATGACGAGGACAATGGTGACGCTAGTTCAGATGATGATGACGATGCTGATGATGCTCATGGTGATGATGATAATGGTGATGCTGATGGTGATGATGCTGATGATGCTGATTCTGATGACGATGACGATGATGATGATGGGGATGATGAGTATCATGCTCACGCGGAGGATACTTCGGATCAGGATCATGAGGGGGAACAGCTTAGGATGGGGGTGATGATGAGGAAGAGGATGAAGTTGAGGATGCGGATTTTGTTGTTGTTGCTATTGTTCATGCTGATGTTGATGATGCTGATGATGATGGTGATGGTGATGGTGATGCGGGTGTTGGTGATGATGCTGATGATGATGGTGGTGGTGGTGGTGACGATGATGCTGATGATGATATTGATGATGATGATGCTGGTGATGATGCTGCTGCTGATGATGATGATGATGGTGATGATGGTGATGATGATGATGATGCTGATGATGCTGCTGCTGATGATGATGATGGTGATGAGGATGATGATCGTGGTGATGATGGTGATGAGGATGAATAGGATCAGGCGGATTCATCGCAGGCTGGTATGTTCTGCTGTATAGAGTTTCTGGCTCGCAGCTGAAGGCTGCGGCTGCCGTCGCTTCTCTCCTCCTCCAGCAGTTGTGTAGACTTTTGTGCGTGTGTGTGTAGCAGCATGGTTGTTTCCCCGGGCGAATAGACGGCAGGGGCTAAGCAACGCCTTTCAGGCGCCAGCCAGAGCCAGCGCTTTGTCCTAGGAGTTGCAAGCGGTCTTGAAGGGCTTGAGAAGATGGTGAGCGTGGATTGGTAACGGCGAGGGTGGCGATGGTGGTGGTGGTGGTGGTGACGATGACGATGCTGACTGCCATGATGTTGGTGGCGGTGATGAGGAGGAGGCCTCGAACCTCGGGGCCTCCCCAGCTCGCGGTCCTCCCCGGCCGGGCAGACTACGCGGAGCGAGAGAAGGGGGGGGGGACAGGCGGCTGCCCGAGCTGCACGGGGAGGCCATGTTCGACCAGGCCCCCCGCGCCCCACCGCGGCGTCTACCTCGGCCTCCTTCCGGGCGTCTCTCTCGTCATGCGGGACCTCGCGGGGGGGGGGGGTGCGTGGGATGCAGGAGGAGGGGCCCTGAAGGGGCCCCCCATGCATTGACCCTCCAGGGCAGGGGCAGCACCCAGACCTCTGATGTGAAGTTCCAGTCGAGGTTTTGAGCACTGAGCAGTCCCGATAGGTCCAGCAGTCTGGAGGGCTTTTCAGCACCCTGGAGGGTCAGGGCAGCCCCCCCCAGGGGCCCCGGCGGTGCACGAGAAGGTGCACCCTTCTCCATCCCCCCCCATGAGCAGCGCGCGGTGCGGCGTGCACGGGCGAGCGCGGCAGTGACGGGACCCCCTCCCCACGAGCGCGAGAGGTGGCGCGGAGTGGTGTGGTGTGGGCTGTTGGCGTGCGTCATTGTGCGCGGGATCAGCATGCCCCCCCCACCCCCACGTCGTCGTCCCCGCCCCGCCTCCTCCGTCGACGTCGACGTCGTCAACGTCGGCCTCGTCCTCGCCGTCGAGGACGAGGTCGAGGTCGTCGAGGTCGAGGTCGTCGTCGCCGTCGCCGTCGCCTTCGCAGGAGATCGCTCCCTCTCTGCGCGCGGAGGGGCGCCCCCCGCCAGAGCCGCGTCCGCCCGCCGCCCGCGCCCGACGTCGGCGTCTGCGTCTCTTGGGCTCCTCGGCGTTACCCCCCCTCTTCGGGCGTCGAGCAATATTGGGTGGGGGGTTGGGGGCCGATTCATGAGGCGGGTGAGGAGAGGTGCACCTGCTGTGCCATCAACGGGCCCCCCTGGGGCCCCGAAAGGGGCACGAAGGGGGCACTCCTCCTCCTCGTCCTCCTCGTCCTCTTCCTCGTCCTCCTCCTCCTCCTCCTCCTCCAGCCACGTTGGCTCTGGCTCGCATCGCTGGGTGGCCCCGCCGCTCGCTGCGCGCCATGCCGATGTGTGCGACGCGTCGCGGGGCCCTGGAGGCGACCCGCGGCTCCCTGGTGGCGGCGCACGCCGCTGCCGGCCTCTGCGCCGGCGAGAGTCGCGAGGCTCTCCGCCTGGTGCGGGCGGCCGAAGGGCTCCTGCGGGCGGCGGCGGCGGTGCTCGGCACGCCCGCGCCCACGCCCGCGGCAGGCGGTGGCAATGGCGCCGCGGCGCAACCTGGTGACCCCCCGATCGACGCCGCGCTCCCGCGCCCTCGGCGGAGGCGGCGGCGGCGTCGGGCTCGGGCTCGCTCTCGGCGACCTGATGAAGGAGCCCAGGACATGCACGTGGACGGCCATCCCATCGCGCTGCTCGACCTCAGCCCTGCTGGTGCGAGCGCGGGCGATCCCGCTGGCGAGGGCGCCTCGGAGGACGACCCGCTCGACGACAGCTGGGCCGACGGCCTGCGGCGTGCGCCTACGGGCGCGGCGGCCGCGGCAGCAGACGGAGGCAGGGACGACAAGAACAAGCGCCTCCGCGTCGATGCAGCTGGTGGCGCGGCGGGGTTGCAGGTGGCGCTGGCCGCGGAGCTCGGGGCCCTGGCCTCGAAGCTCGGCACGGCGCCTGGCGACCTGCGCGGGCTCTTCGAGGCCGCGACGACCAGCCACGCGGAGTTCACCGAGAAGGAGGCGGGGCTGCTGCGGCGGCTCGCTGGCCTCTTCGATTGAGCTCCTGGCGCGTGCGCGCGCGTTGGTTCAAGGGTCGGCCTTTGGCGAAAGCCAGCTGGTCGGCCCTTCGCGCTCGGCCTCGCCGTCGGGCGCTCCACGGCTCGCCGAGACGGACGGCCCGCCGCGCAGTGTTCTCGCTCGCTCGCTCCTCCTCCTCCTCCTCCTCCTCCTCCTCCTCCTCCTCCTCGTCCTCGTCCTCGTCCTCCTCCTCCTCCTCCTCCTCCTCCTCCTCCTCCTCCTCCCCTCCTCCTCCTCTCCTCCCAAAAATACAGCGCACTCCCCAGTCATGGATGCCTAGCCTCTTCGGGAGGGCGATGCAAACATTGGGGGGGGGGGGGGGGGCGGGGAGGGGGGGGGGGGGGCATGCATGAGGCGGGTGAGAGATGGTGGCGCCTGCTGTGCCCTCGAGGGGCCCCCCTGGGGGGCCCCGAGAGGGGCGCGAAGGGTGCGCGTACCCTCTCCCCCCAAAAAGTACAGCGCACCCTCTTGCCATAGACGCCTCCTCCTCCTCCTCGTCCTCCTCCTCCTCGTCCTCCTCCTCCTGTTCCCCCCTTCCCCTCCTCAAAATACATCGCACCCCCAGTCATGGACGCCCAGCCTCTTCGGGGCGCGAATGCCCTCCTCCTCCGCCTCCGCCTCCTCCGCCTCCTCCGCCTCCTCCTCCTCCTCCTCCTCCTCCTCCTCCTCCTCCTCCTCCTCCTCCTCCTCCTCCTCCTCCCCCCCCTCCCCAAATACAGCGCACCCCCCCAGTCATGGACGCCCGCCCTCGTCGGAGGGCGATGCGCATATTGGGGGGGGGGGGGGGGCATGCATGAGCGGGTGATGAAGGTGCGCCTGCTTCGCTTCGAGGGCCTCCCCGGGGCCCCAAGAGGACCAGGAAGGGTCCGCGTGCCCTCCCCCCCCGAAAAATTACAGCGCACCCTCGTGCCATAACGCCCCCTCCTCCTCCTCCTCCTCCTCCTCCGCCTCCTCCTCCTCTCCTCCTCCTCCTCGCATCCTCCTCCTCCTCCTCCGCCTCCTCCTCCTCCTCCTCCGCCTCCTCGTCCCCCCCCCCCCCCCCCCTCCCCAAAATACAGCGCACCCCCCAGTCATGGACGCCCGGTCTCTTCGGGAGGGCGATGCACATATTGGGGGGGGGGGCATGCATGAGGCGGGCGAGGAGAGGTGCGCCTGCTGTGCCCTCGAGGGGCCCCCCTGGGGCCCCAGAAGAGGGGCACGAAGGGTGCACTTGTCCCCTCCCCCAAATGCAGCGCCCTCACATTGTGTTAGCCATAGACGCCTCTCTCCTCCTCCTCCTCCTCCTCCTCCCTCCTCCTCTCCCCCTCCCCACTCCTCCACTCCTCCCTCCTCCTCCTCCTCCTGACTCCTCCTCCTCCTCCTCCTCCTCCCCGTCCCTCCTCCTCCTCCTCCTCCGCCTCCTCCTCTCCTCCTCCTCCCTACCTTTTTTCCTTCTCCTTTTTCCTCCTCCTTTTACTCCTCCTTGTCCGCCTCAAGCCTCTGCCCTCATCCTCATCCCTCCTCCCTCCTGCTCCTGCTTCCTCCTCCCTCCTCCTCCTTACTCCTCCTCCTCCTCCTCCCTCCCCCTCCTCCTCCTCCTCTTCATCCTCCTCCTCCTTCTGGTCTCCGCCTCTTTCCTCCTCCCCTCCCCTTGTTCTCCTCCTCCGGCCTCCGTCCTCCTCCTTCCTCCCCGTCCCCTCCTTCGCCCGCTCCTCCATCTCCGCCATCTCCCACCGCCGCCTCCCACTCCTCCTCCTCTCCTCCTCCTCCTCCTCCTCCCTCCTCCTCCTCCTCCTCCTCCCCCCCTCCTCCTCCTCCCTCCTTTTCCTCCTCCTCCTCCTTCCTCCTCCTCCTCTTCCTCATCCTCCTCCTCCTCCGCCTCCTCCTCCTTTTCTCCTCCTCCCCCCCGAAAAAAAAAACCCGGGTGACGTACCCAACTCCTGCGCAATGCGGGGCACGAGCAGCCGAGGTGATGAGGTGGCATGGGGTAGTGTAAATCTGGGAGCGGCATTCGCGAGGCTCGCAGCCCCCCAGCGACGGCGAGGTCTACCTCAGATCTGCGCGGTGCCTCATCCCGCTGGCCCCGCCAGCAGCCCTCGAAAGTGGCGACAGTTTCGCAGATCGCAGCCCCCCAGGGACGGCGAGGTCTACCTCAGATCTGCGCAGTGCCTCACCCCGTTCACCCACCAGCAGCCCTCGAAATTGGCGACAGATTCGCAGATCGCAGCCCCCCAGGGACAGCGAGGTCTACCTCAGATCTGCGCAGTGCCTCACTCCGCTGGACCAACCAGCAGCCCTCGAAAGTGGGGACAGCTTCGCATATCGCAGCCCCCCAGCGACGGCGAAGAGAGGGCGGGAGGAGAGAGGAGGCGGGAGGAAGGAAGGAAGGAAGGACGCCCGAGAAGTGCTTCATTCAGAACGAATGCCCAGCCAAGCAGGGGTGGGACAAATACAGCGCATCCCCCAGTCATGGAGCGCCCAGCCTCTTTGGCGGCGCCCACACAAGGGGGTGGCACGAGGGGTGCGGTCCTCCCAGAAGACGTGACGGGCCCCCTCGGAGGGCGCGGGGGCCTTCCTGGAAGGCCCCGGGGGCCCTCCTCGGCGGCGCCCGCCGTGGGGCTTCGGCGCGAGGGGAGGAAAAACCACCCCGGCCCGACAATCGAATGGCGTTTGCTCAACGGCCCTGGGCTTTGACTAAACAGCCCTGCCCTGCTTGATTCCTTCTTTGGGTGCGTTTACTGAACGACTTCGCGTGGCGGGGCGGTTCTTATGGGGGCGGATCTGTTCGACCTCTGCTTCGGACCCCGAGGGAGCCCGAACTTCGGAGGGCGGCCTTCGGACGCCTTCGGCCTCTGAGGGAGTCCCGAGGCCGCCCCCCGAAGTTCGGAGGGCCGTCCCCGGAAGTTCGGAGGGCCTCCTCGGAGGGCCCTCGTGGAGGCCCCCCAAGGGAGCCGTGCGTCCCGGAGAGCGCGGGCGGGCCTCTAAGGAGTGCCCCCCCAGGCCTTCTCGGGTAGGGGACCACATGCAAACCCTACCCCTACCCCCCCACGAAATCTGAGGGGGAGGGTGGGGTTCACTTCGCTCGGAAGCTCCCGAACGAGGTGGATCAGGCGATCGCAAACATGGATCAAGGGGGCGTGGATTAGCGACGGGTCCCGTTTCCACGGGAATCGCGATTTCCGACGCGGAACGAGGCGGCACCAGCCGTATTTTGGGGAGGGCACCTCTCCCGATTCATGGATTTGGCGACCGCGCGCAGAATCCATGGATCTCTAGTCCATGTTTGCGCGCCCCCGAGTGAGCCCCGCCCTCCCCCTCAGAAATGGGGGGGGGTAGGGGTAGGGCTCGCACGTGGTCTGGTCCCCTATCGGGAGCCCCCTCCCCCCCCCGGGGGGTAGGGGTAGGGCTCGCACGTGGTCTGGTCCCTTATCGGGAGCCCTCTCCCTCCCCCCCCCTCCCCCCGTCTTCCTCGGGAAGCCGCCCCCGCCCCCCCGCCCCGCCCCGTGGGACCACCCGCGTGTGGGCGCCGCCACCCCCTTCCTTGAACAGGCACGAAGTCGGGCGTGCCCCTCGACAGGAGGAATCTTCGAAGACAGTCACGACATAGTCGGGGGACGATTGCTCGATTATTGTTCGACTAGGTTTGCGTTCTCCATGTCTATATATATATATGTTTTGTATTTTACAATTTCTAAGTGTTCCTCGAGAATCCGCCTGTAGGAGGACATGCCCGACCAAAAAAAAACACAATGGTACGCAGCAGTGAGAGGGGCGGACGGCGGCGAGCGAGGGAGGGAAGTGTGAAGAGGAGGGCCTTCTCGGAAGGCGGCGGGACTTCTCAGAAGCCCTCGCGCCGTCTGAGGGGTTTTCGTTGTCGTCGGGGAAGGCTTCGAACACTTTTCAGAAGGCCGGGGTACTGCCGAGCCTTCTGAGAAGGCCTCCCTCTTCTCACTTCCCCCCCGGCTCGCCGCCGACGTGTGGGCGCCGCCAACCTCCTCGAAAGAGCACCAGAAGGGTACGCACCAGCGAGAGCGGCGGGAGGGCGACGAAGACGTTACCCTGGTTCTCGCTCCGCCTTTCTGTTCAGCATCGCTTCATCGGCCCCTACGTATCCCCACCCCAAGCCAGACTCCCACCATCTCACCGCCTCAGTCGGGGACCTGCTCTTCGAGGCCCGGAGGGGGGCGGAGGGACGGCGCCCGGGCGCGGAGAGAGGGACCACTTGGGGCTTTGGAGGGGGCACGGGTCTTCGGGCCGCTCCTGAGATCCGAGTCGGGGAAACAACTGTGGACGAGGCCCTCCGTGGCCAGGCAGGCCCCTCCGCTCCGTCTTCGGCTTTCGTTCCGACAGTGCCACGACTGCACCATCTTTCGGGTTGGCCCAGAAGGGGGTCCAGCGACGAGGGGGTGGTGGTGGTGCCATAGATTTGGTGCAATAGATTTGTGGGGTTGCAATGCAGTTGGGGCGTGCCATGCATTCCGGGACGCAAGTGTATTGCTGGCTTTTCGCGTGCAATCCACTACTTGCAGTACAATGCAGTACAATTCTCCGGCGCAATGTATTTTTCATACAATTGCCCCAAATCTATTGCACCACCCCCTTTCAGCTGGACTCCCTTTTGGGTGTGCTTGAATTCTTTTTGCTCCCGCTCCACGCTGGACGTCAGCCTCGACGTCGACGTCTCTGCTTCCGAGGTTTTCGGCGTTCGTCCTCGTTCGCTGCCTGCGCTTCGCACGCGCCCGACCTCGTGGCTTGATGGTGCCAGCACACGCTGCACCCTGGCCGGCAGGCTCTCCTGTAACTCGGCGGCGAGCGAAGGGGGCAAGTGAGAAGGAGAAGGCCTTCTTTCTCAGAAGGCGGCGGGACTTCTCAGAAGCCATCGCGCCTTCGAGAAGGTTTCTCTGCCTTCGGGGCAGGCTCAGGAAAGTCCTCAGAAGGCCGGGGGGCTTCCTGGAGCCCTCTGAGAAGGCCTTCTCCTTCTCACTTCCTCAGCCTCGCCGCTG